TAAAGCCTTGCCCATGTGACCAAGTCAGCTCATCATTAAGAAAATAAACTTGGTTAACGGTTAAACTTGAGTCATAGTGATGGCTGTGTATCTAATGGGTTTAGTAGCTTAGATACAGGGAAAGGGAAAGAAATAATGTATTAAGAAACAAAGGGTGAAAATTCAATTTCTTGATTTACTGCTAATTAAACTATATCACTTTGGACAAAGCATTTTGTGCCTGTTTCTATGAAATAAAGGGCGTGGGTCAGATGTTCTCCAAAATCTATCTCAGTCCCCAGATTCCTTGATTCTGAAAAGAGGTTCACTCACATAATCAGAGGGAGGTTCACAGTGAATCCAATTAAGCTTAAATTTCAGGGCCCCCCCTTGCATGGGTCCCTTCTGAGGCCTGTATCCAATTTTATATTTGCATGTTCATCTTCTTTTTAAGATGATTCCCCAAATTTTATAAATTTCAGGTCCCACATAAATGCCCAACCCTGCATATAACATACATAGGTTCTGTAGGAATTTGTAAATATATGTGATCAAGTCAATTCAAGTCAATTCTACATGTGAATGTATTACTAAGGGTTTTTAAACAACAGATACAAAAACAAATTTATAAAATGTATATGACAAACATGTCATTTAATATAAAAGCATGCCCTCCTTTCTACCACTTTTAATAGGCACATGACCTCTGAACAAGTGAAAAAGGAAATTTAAGTGAATTGGAATCTAAAGACGTTTATCTCCTTGTAACTATCTATAAACTTTCTTGCTATACTAGACAATTAGCACTGTTCATTCAGCACTGACACAACTCTTGACTGGTTGAGTGTTCCCTTTTAAAAGTCTTGATTTTTTTTTTTTTTTAAATTTGCCTGGTGATGAACATCAACCAAAATAGGAAGCATTTAACAGAATTTACAATGCAGACATATATCAGAGTGCTGAATTTCCTAACTTTTGTCATTTGAACCTGCTTTGCCACTTTGATTTTTTTCAGTTTTCACAACTATTAAAGTGAAACATTCACAGAAAAAAAGTTGTATCTTTTGTGGCTTTATTTAAAAAATATCTTAATGACAAACCATAACATCAACATTTGAAAGTATGTTGCAATCAATAGTTTACAAGTTGAAAATACCGTAAAGCTCCCTTATCAAGCATTTCATCACACCATGCCCTCTTCATATAAAGTGTTACACAGTATATGATTCTGACTCTACAAAAGGCAGAGTTAACCTGTTTCTTGATATTAGGATTATAATAGGGTTGTGATGTAGTTGATCTTTGGTTACCAAATAGCTAGCAATTCATTTAATCTGAACTTTTTGGCTAATGGTACTTCAAGATAGTTTTTAATGTTATTTTGATTTATTGCCAGGCATAAGTTCCCTCAAAGCAGCTGGGCTTGGAAGGGACAGTGTTAATGACTCTGCCATCAGGTCAGCAGCTGCTTGGAGGCAGGCATTTTGTTGTACTGATATTGACACCTTGCCACAAAATACTTTTACTGACTGCTACACAGCTGGAGTGCGGCTGTAAAAACAGCTGGCTGGCTCTGGAGGCAGCTAGATGAACATATAGGCTAAACTCTACTATATATAAGTGTGACTAAATATGTCTTTCCTCCCCAGGGGTTGAAGACGGGAGAGAAGAGAGAAAGGAACTGTAAGCATTTCTGAGAAGCCTACTATTCAAAGTTGAAGGAACACCATATAAAAGTGTTCTAACATAATAAAAAATTAGCAAAATCCTGGAAAACTAGACATTTGACATCAAAGATAGGACTTGATTGATGATTCCACAAATACTCATGATCTACTGAGATGGCTGATTTGTTATTTATTGTTGTGCTTTATAATATTCTTCAGTCTATTAATCTATAATGTTTAAAAATTTTGATTTAAAGCTCATAAGTTAATGAGTTATACTAACGTGAAAGCCAGCATTTCCATTAGATTTCCAAAGGCCCAACTTGTGATCTAAGTTCTAAAAAAAATCACTGAAACGCAATTTAGAAAAAAAGACATATGAGAATATAAATTGTGTTTTTGCCAATTCCTAATACTTTTTATTACACCCCAGAGTAAATAAAACTAACATCTAGCTCTTGAAATTGAGACACATCTGCTAACATTGTTTAAATTCAGTCTATCTTTAAGATTGTTGTTTTTTTTATATGGTCCATAGAAGCCTGAAAAAATAGAGCTAAGAGGAGTTTATTCCCATAAAATAACTAAAGTCATGTTATTCTAAAGTGATACCAGTTAATTTATGATGATCAGAGTGGGTCAGACTCTAATCAAATTGTAGAAACATTTCCAAAGTGATTATTCAATCAAATGACTAACATGGTTAATTAGGAGCCATAAACATTGCTCTGAAGTTCATCAAAGTAATGACTTGCCCAGAAAAATTACTGCTAATTAAATTGCCTGCTGCTTTCATTTCTACCTTATCTAATAAAAAATCCAACCAATGAAGTTTGGCATTACATTTTAACTTTTGCTAAATGTTCAACTAAGATCCAAACTGGCTAAGAGAAGACTTCAAAGGCAAATATTTTGTGGCTGGGAACAGAAGCATTGCATATGTATTCATTTCTGTTTGTCATAGAACAAAACCTAGAATAATAAACTATAATTCAACTATGCACAAATGTTAAGATGACAGCATATTTGCACTGCCCTACTATGGGTCCACAGATTATAATTTTAGGATCATTAGTACAGCACATTTGTTACAAACATGTACCTTGTTATCTAACAGATCTAGTTTGGAGTCCCATTTCTGACACTTCCTGGGAATATGACATTGGGCTAGTTGTTTAACAGCTCTTAACTCTCAACCTCCTCATCTGTAAAATGGGAATAGTAATATGAATATACTTAAAAGGGTCAATGGGAGGATTCATATGGGGCAAGGTACGTGAAAAGGAGCCCTGGTGGTGCAGTGGGTAAGTACTGTGCTGCTAACCCAACTGCCACTCAGCGGGAGAAAGACGTAGCAGTCTGCTTCTGTGAAGATGACAGCATTGGAAACTCTACGGAGCAGTTCCACTCTATCCTATAGGCAGGGGCGGATTATCGAATAGGCAAGGTAAACATGGTGCTTACCTTACTTACCAGATCATCTGAAATTGTTCACTACAGAAATTGTTTGCTATAGATTAGTAAGTAAGCACAAATAAGTCTGTGGTTACCTTGCTTACTGGGTCATCTTTCCTTGTCAGGGATTGTATATTTGAAAAGAGGCTTTGATTCTGCTGGAAGGTGCTGTGAGGAGTTGGTAGAGAGACAGATGCCAGCCATACCTAGAAGCAGAGTTTCTAATGTGGTGGAAAAAATGTGAAATTGTTCACTATAGATGATCTGGTAAACACCGTGCTTACTTTGTCTATCGGATAATCTACCCCTGCCTATAAAGTCACTATAAGTCAGAATTGACTCATTGGCAGCAGGTTTAAGGCATGTGAAACATTTCACACAATACCTGCGCACAGTAAGAATTCAATTTATGGTACTTACTAAGAACATAATCTATTTTTTAAGTGAACCTCACAAGTATTTAAAAGTGAGTGTACTACAGTACTTAAGAGGATGATTAATTGCATCACTAAGTAAGTTATTTTTGCTGTTTTTAAATCATATATCCCTTGACATGGCTGGTTTGTTGTTTATAGGTGTACTTACTCTTGACCGTTCTTCAGAAATCTATTAATTAACCTATTAAGCTTAAAATACACTGATTTAAAATTCATACTAAACTACTTATAAAGATTTAAGACGGATTCTTCATTATATTTTCAAAATATTTGGGAGTAACTCTTTTTGACTATTGAGATGCTTTTCTACAGTATTACACCCTGATATTTGGCTTAAAAAGTTTTAAATTCAATCTGTAAATTGCATTGTGTAAATTTAATTTAAGACAAAGGATATTTACTTAGTTTGAAACTTGTAGATCAAAGAGCTCTATAACATGACATTAGTATTGGGAGAAATCAGCTTGCAGAAACTAAACGGCCTATAATTTGTCACAGATGAGTTCACAGTGATGAAAGGTGATCTAATATGCTGCAAAAATTCAAAGCAGCAAAGCGCTGTTGTCATTTCAATGTACTGGTCAACGTAGGGGAAGTAAAAGATAATAATGATGATAAACACTCCAAACTATCTGTTTTGATTAGCCTTCACCTTTACTAACATTACTAAAGTTTTCAAATTACAATATGCAGGCAAGATACCAAACTAAAAAAAAGTTAATTTCTCTGTCTTGACTTGCATTTTAAAGCTGTGTTGGGAAACACGATACTGGTCTGGGAAGCTTTACCAAAGTTTTGACCACAAAGTGCAGTTCTAAATTTGCACATATAATACTGCTAGGCACTGCTCTCATTTGCATAT